TTTTCTAGTTGGCGGGGTCTAAACTATCCCAACATATCCTGAATGTTGATATTCCCCCGCCTTTGTTCTGTTCTGCAAAGCCCTCAGCGTTCAAGTGCAAAACCAAGAAACAGCCTTGAGTCTCTTCTGCACAAAGCAGAGAGTATCAGAAATCACACTGTGCATTTCTGCTTTGAAATCATTCCCGCCGAGAATGATCTCAACTCAGGGTAAGCTTAAGCAGAAAGGACACTTGGTCTGGGCAATACAGAGGGTGGTTCTGTAGTATGTGATCCTCTGGCCCAGACATCGTCAGCTCTGGACACTGCTCATCCCATGGGATTGAGCTATGTGACACAGTGGCCAATGTCCTGCTCCTCAAGTCACGTGTGTCACTCACCAGCCATTGCAGGGGAACACGCTTTATCTGCACTGTCGAGGATGTTTTTATGGCAATAATGTAAGGTTAAGAAGTGCAAAAGCCCCCCACTGTTAATAAAGACACATCTGTATGTGGATTGTCACTGGATGTTTACCAGAACAACAAAATTGCCTTGAAAAATATTTGGAAATGTTGTTCTGGAGCTTCCAGTTTCCCACACGACATTTACAGTTCCCAAAGGAAAGGGGCAGCTCTGCCTGTGGAAGAAGCACAGGTCAGAACATGTATCAAAGCTAAAATATCACAGGCTATCATCAGGGTAGGGTGCCAGGGCACTAAATCAAGAAACGCTGAACTAAGAGCAAAGCCAGAGATCGGATAAAGAGGACAGGTGGTGGGTCTGCTACGTGGAGGAAGGGCAATCATCGCGTTTCCTCAGCGTGTGTCAAAGGAAGGTGTGAGGATTGCTTCACTGGAGCAGTGGCAACACCTCAAGTAACGTGCTGTGTGCGGGGTCAGCAGTCACACACAAATCATGGTGAAAGCAGCCTTTGCCTCTTCATGTTGTCTGTGTGTGGCTTTTGACCATTTCGACCTTTTCTGAACACCTGCGTACAGCAGGCACCATTGAAAAGACAGCAAAGACAGCAAAAGGTAGAGGGAAAGCAGGGGTAATTTCCCTTGCCTCATAGGCAACTCCTGCATATTCAATTTCTTGGCCTCATAAGACGCTCTTCAGCAGACAAAAATAAACCTTTGCTGTGTCTGCATGTGGCTGTTACTAACTAAATGCCAAGCTCTTCACACGATGCTTTGTGTCAAGAGGGGACTGAGAGAGTCACAAATCCATCTAATCAGCACCGGTCACATTATAAAAATAACAACAATGAAAATGAAACAAGCTGAGTGGTTATTTAATGTAGCTTGAGTACAGCGTGGTCTCACAGCCAGCTCTTAGACACAGCCAAAGCTCACGAGAGTCAGGAGAGCCTTTTCACAGATTTCAGTGGGCTTGGAAGCACAACCAAGACCTGTGAAACCAGAGCCTGAACCACTCCTGGTGTTCACAGGGGCACAGGAGGGTTTCATACCAATAAACCCAAGTGTCATCTGTGCAGGGAAGACAACAGATCTCTCTGCACCTCTGTGTCTTTCCAAATCACTTTCCTTCAGCTATTTTATCTGCTTTTAAACACAGTCACACAAGAGGATTGGGACTGAGCAACACCAAGTTCCACACCAGATGTGGCTGCGTTTCCATTGCTCAGGGAATGGGATGCATCAAACTCCTGTAACCTTGACCCAAAGAGCCATCTCTTGTCTTTGCCTCACAGCGAGGGTGCATTTCCATGCACCATTTGTTCAGTTGAGAAGGTGGCTTGAGGAGCTTCTAGTTCCTGGCCACTTGATCTCATGAGGCCTGATCTCCCTGACCGTCTACCAAAATGGTTATTTTGGAAGCTCCCAGTAAGGCAGATCAGCAAATCTGTTTGAGGTAAAAATAATCCCTCAAAAATAGTAAAATAAAGTACTTTTCATCTGGATCGAACACTAATTTAACGTAGGTCCCACAAGTCCCTTTTGTGCATCCCCGAGAGCCATAGAGTGAAACAAAGGGAGCTATAAAAGCACTCCCACAGGCAATCTGTGTATGTACTCCTTCACCAAAGACTGTGACCCCCAGGGACTGAGTGATGCTCACACGCACTCCCAGGTATGGGGACATCAGTCCTGAAGCAAAAAGGGTTACAACAACTTCAGTAGTGCTTGGCTTTTCTACTTGTCAGGTTGGCTGTGGTGTGGCAATGTCCTCTTCCTTAGGCAAACCCCACGTGCAGCAGTTCTTCTCTACACATCCATTCAAAACAAAACCCAAATTCATGTTCCTGTCCCTGCCACAGTTACTGATCAGTTGTAAATTCAGGCAGTGGCTTTGAAAGCTGCGCTTGCAGAGGACTGTGGTAGGTTAGTGTAGCAGCAAGACAGAGCACTGTCACTGCCAACAGGACCCTGCTTGCAAAACCAGGATCAATCCACAGACAAGACTTCTTCACATATTACAATCACTGAAGAAAGGTGTACAGGAAAGTCACGTAAGAAATCTTCTAAGGTATTAACCTTAAAAAATCACAAGCATCTTCTACCAGATATGGCTTTCAGGACCTGGGCATGGGAAGTACAGTTTGTTCTGTTTTACAGGCACACTAAGGAACAACGTTATGCTCCAGGTCATACCAGTATTCAGCAATAAAGTGGGGTGTGAATTCATGTGTCCTAACTCACAGCCTTGCCTCCTAACCACCACACGGCTTCTTCTGCAGACACAGGACTCATTCCTTCAAGTCTTCCCTGAAAGTCTCTATACAGCAGGATTTCTACTCAGATCAAGGGTACAATGTTTGCAGTCCCAGCCAGGCTCTCTATTAATGTTCCTAAAGTCATTTTGTATATTCCAGCTACTGCTGTCAGGCTTCCTAACAGCTGCTTAAAAAGACCTTTTACAAGAAAGGTGAGGTCTTCAGCTGAGTCATCCTCATGTCAAACAGAGAGTTCAGGGTGTTCTTGCTGACTCCCTCTGATGTCAGACTGAGTCCCTTTACCTCTAAAGCAGGAGTATAAAGAGAAGTCTCATGTTTCTGTGAGACAGCAGGGACCGCTGACATGGATGTTTGTGTTATCTGAAGGTTTGGGGACAGGAAAAAAGAGCTGTGTGTCAGCTGTGACTGCTCATGCACATATTCATATACGTATGTATTACATTTTATACAGCATACTAGCAGGCAGTCGCAAATTCTGTCTGCCCCTTGCTTATGAGCAACACTTCAACTATACAAATATGGCAGGTGGAGTGATGGGACCATGGGCTTGGTGTGCCCAGAGCGGTGTCGTCTCACCCCAGATGCAACCCAGTGAAATCACCAAGTGGGATGGGACAGATAGAGACCTTGGAAGATATCGCAAATTTCTGTTGCTTTCATTAAAAGAATTAAACCCAACGTCTCAAATTATTCAGATGCAAAAATCTGTGATAAACACTACACTCAGTTGGAAAGGTTTATGAACAGTTCTATTTCCTACAGATTCATTTTGAGAGATCCCTGTACAGTACTGGTATGAAACCAGACCAAAATCAAAAACCTGTGTGTGTTCAGACAGGTGCTTGTGGCCAGGTGAGCTGAGTTTGCTGCCTTAAGAACAAAACTGCAGAGACTGCTCCACACAATATGGAATTAAGATAACTAAATAATGCTTTATTTGTCCCATTTGTTATTTTGGTCTAAATGATATGTGATTGTTTTGGGGTTTTTTTGGAGGAGGAGTTTTCTATTCTCTGTAAATACTTTACTTTCAGATGGATTACTTCAGGTGAAGTGTATACAAAGCCTTACATAAACACCAGAATAAAACTGCTGTGCACAAACATGAGCTATGCCAGTTTACCTGTAAAGAGAATTCAATCAACAGATGATATTAAAAAATAAATAAAAGGATAAGTCAGCGAGCTATAATTCTCAAAATTTGTACAGGGCTTGAAGGACACTCCTTAGGAGGGACGAGACAAGACATTTCTAATACATTCCATAACTAAAAGCAAACTAGATGGGGTAGCAGTCTACACAGGCTTGAAACACGGGGAATGCTTGCACAGACCTCAACACACAGAAGCTGAAACTGCTAAATTTCAAACTCGCCAGCATATGTTTCACAAGCTACCAAGAGCAACACACTTTTGCTGTGGCTTCTTATCACAGCAGTCAAGTTGCATGATCTCTGGTGGTGTCTGGGAATCCCAGAAGCCATCTGGAACCCCCTGCTTGGGATAACCCTTCAAGTCTCAATTGTTGAGATCTATTTGCAAAGCTATCTCCAATCAAATGTTTTGGATCTGGGCTCACAAAGATTTCTTTAACGAAACTTGAAATACATTTTTGTAACTAAATCCTCAGTAATGAATTTTATTCCCACTGTGATGTTTCTTCCCGTTGTTCTTTTAGAATTTGTAAACAAACCATTGTCCTTTGGAGAGACTTGTTTTCCATAATAGCGCTTCTGCAGCCATCCTTCATACCATAACCAGCTGTCGGATCTTGGTCTCTGCTTCTAGGAGTGCTTTATATGAGTTTTATTTCTCAATAGGCTTCATCAGTGATGAAGTTCTTGAACTACAACTGTCACGTGTTATAACAGCTACCGTCCAGTTCAGAAGTATGAGTGGGCCTAATTCAAACCAGATATACATTAGAATTCACATTTGGGTTTAGATGATAAGAGAGGATGTTTGGGGGTTTTTAGGATGATAACAACCCTTGCCCACTACTGCGCATTCCTATCTCTCTGTTTTGCCCCTCTCATTGAAAACCCACCAGCAGCACCCAGTCCAGAGCCTAACTTTTCAGGTCCAGTTGCAAGGATTGATCCTTGCTCCTGTTCTTAGCACCAGCTGAGAATAGCAACCATCAAACGATGATGCTGTTTTCTCTCTTCAGTGCCAAGAGACTCAACAGCACGCCCGTGTCCTGTGGATTCTGGTATGTGCTGCCTGCAAGGTCTGCTTCTATATATTCCTGCCATCTGCATGACTTCACTCAGTTATGTGATGTTCCAGACAACACAACACTGAAATAACGCTGGCACTTACCTGAGCTGCCAGTGCCTTCCGATACACTTCTGGATGTTTTTGGCTGGCTCTGTTTGCTACTTGTTCGTACAGTGACTGAAGGAGGAACAGTGCTGCTGCTGTCTCCACGAATCGTCGAGAGATCCTGCATGCTAAAGCTCCTTAGTCTCTCAGACAGGGCCCCCTGTCCCTAGTTAAACAAGCAAGCAAATAACACACATAAAAGTTAGATTTCACAGTGCATTTTGAGCCCTCCTCCTCCCTAGCTCATTGAAATCCACCAGGACAATAGGAAGAGAAAAAATTGCATGGTTGAGTAACCTAGAGAGGATAAAAATGAGTTGTTAAAAGCATCATTTCCCTCTCTTTGCTCTTCCTTGGTGGTTCTATGCACAAAGTCACTCCAACTTTTGACAGTGAGCATCTCTGATTGCTCAATGCAGTCGTTTGAGCTCAGAGCAGCCTTGGCCACATCTAAAGGAGCAGGATGTAGGCACTTTTCTTCACTAGGATCTGAATCAAATGGGTGCTTGGCTTCACAAACACAATTAAATAGTCTGCATGAAAACTTTAAAGTTAATAATCTATGAAGATATTCACCCAGACATTCTCAGTCACAGACAGAATTTCCAGAGCACAGAACACTTGAAATTTTAAGGTAATAAAAAGTTACTCTTAAATGCAAAGAAATATCCCGGTGCTTTTTCATGCAGCTTACGGAAGATATTAACTCACACAGGATTTTTTGTTCCTTTTAGACCAGGTCTCAATCAAGCAACAAACACATTCCCTGGTGGAAGGAACATCGCTGTTCTTTGTAAAGGATGGGTTGGTTAAAAGACATCTTTCATTAAAACTACATCCCGTCAAAAAGTTGACTACAAGTACATCTCTTCCTGAATTCTGTAATCCTCATACTGTGCCACTACCACAGAGCAAGAATGTCAGAAAATGCAATCAATACAGAATCTGTCTATCCTTATCTGCTACGTTAAGTGACATTCAAACCACAAATAGCATAACAGATAAGAAGTACATTTAGGTTTTAATATTTTGTTGGAGGGAGGAGGGTCTGAAAGATACCTCATAGCAAACAGTCTTGAAAAAATATTGAAATAAACATATAGAGCTCGATTCTAAAACTATTTCTGCTACTGTAAGTTAGGAAAAATCCAATGGATGCTTTGACTGAGGTGAAACCAGAAAGACGACAAACAACAGTAAATATTGCCCTGTTTAACAAATCAGCTACAACACATCGTAGCAATTCCCACATCACCTTCATTTAGATCTGTATTTGTCAAAGCAGGACACGAGCGGAAGCACAGCCTGAACACTGCCAGAGCGCTCTGGGTTGGGGCCGGAGCAGAATCCATCCCTGCTCCCTTCTGGGCAGCAGATTTGAGTTTCCTACCCACAAAATCAGGGTGCAAGCGAGGGGCCAATGGAGAGTATGCTCTGTGCTGGCCTGGCATGGAGAAGGGACCTGTCCTGATCACCTACAACCAAAGGCAAGACTGGACACATGCTAAAGAAATTAAGCAACACTGCCTGTCCCCTAATGCACTGGCATTGATACATTGGGAAGGCAATGCATTAATTTACCTACAGGTACTGATTTACCAACCTCACGTCAGAAATTTTGCATGCAGTCATAGAAAATCAGTTCCTTAGCACCTTACTTCTAGGGACTGTAAGTAGACAAAGCATCTGGTGCTTGTAACTACAGTCACTGTGACTGTAAAGACTGCACTTTCTACATCCAGCAAAACTGCTAGGTCAGAAATCTCCCAACTTTTCAGCCTGAAACTTTTCATACAAGAAAAATGGGTTTAAACTTCCTTCCTAACTCCGTAACGTAATGGTTCAGCTACAGGCAGTCTGTACATCCTGGACTACAGCACTTTTCTTGCAAACAGCACAATGGCATCTTCTTCAGTGCTGTCCCCAAAGCATCATCAGTAGAAATTTGCATCATCTAAGAAAAATAAAACTCAACTGTCTCCATACCCCCCTCTCTTGCTCCTCCCGCAGACTTACTTCGCTCTTTCTCATTTCCCATGTTCTACTTTTTAAAGTATTTTAAATGGATAGGGCTTTTTTGCTTGTTTACTAAGACAAGTTATTTTTTTCTGATTTTATGTGCCTGGCAGTGGAGTCCCTAGAGGTGATCTTCTGTTAAAAATCTCACCTCTGCCACCTCACTCTCCAACCTGCCAGAAGAGCTGATGCCTGAATTTTGTCTACTCTTGCAGTGGCTGAGCGACTCCTGGGACACATTCTCACTCCAAGAGGCATCTCGAGTTGTCCCTCTAAGATGTTTACTCTGCAGTCCATGGCTGCAGCTGTCACTGGGCTGGTGCACTGAAATGTCTGGTTAGCTGCCTGCGATCTTGGTTCTGGACGGGTTTTGTAGCTTGCAATGAATTCCTGCACAGCCACCCTTTTCTCAGTAACTGGTATAAAACGGACATAAAACATCCTACCCTGCAGTCTGACTACAACAGATCCCTAGTGAGAGCCAGCTGAGATCAACCAGACCACTAAATAATAATTTGTTGTTGCAGAATGACTGGACCAGCAAAGCCGGAGGGTCAGAATTGATGAGCTGCTGTAACCTGAGTGCTCTATTCCTCCTCCAGCACCGGCTCAAGTGTCAGAAATGGTCAAGCTTTTAACCTCCTCCCAGCTGCTCTGCTCAGCAGCAAACCCAAATCCCATTTCATTCCAGCCGGCGATTTATGTACGTGGACATGAGTCAGATTAGAGGTGAGATCCACGCATCAGACCAACCTGGCAGGGAAGATGACACTAACGCACCCTTTTGCATTGAAAATGAAGAAGATCTATTAATATTCCTGCCTTTCAACTTGTGATGTAGCAGCATAGAGTGATCAAAGGCCCCAGAGACGGCTTTGAAACAAGGGCCTGATATGTGCCTGTCACCTGTGGGTCCCTTACATTAGCACATAATATGTACAACACAGCCTTAAACACACGGTCACGGCAGCTCCACTAAACAATTTTGACTCTCCAGGAAAAAAAAAAAAAATTAAAATGTCTTTTTTTGATCTTTGCTTTAATTTCACCCAGGTTTATAACAGCAAAAATAAAGGTGGTTCATCATGCAAATAGCAAAATATTGCTGTTCGTACCAGTCTGTGTAAGCTTGTCCAAATCTCAGAAATGGCAGGGATACCAAAGGCTCAGGCTGAGTGAGGGCACTGAACACGTGTGAAATCCTGCTGATTTCCCTCCACTTCTTTCACATTTTTGCACCTTTGGTCTTTGTAGGGGTAGACTTGATTTAATTGTTCCTAGGGCACAACCTAACGCTCACAATCCTTTCCCAGTTGCCACATTTCTACCTGACCCCAAACAGAAACATGACAGAAATGATAATTACAACAGTATCAGGATGGTTCCAGAATAAAATGGAAGCTGTTGTCACCAACCTTAATTTCCCTCTCAGATAAGCAGCTGCTGTATATGAAACCACAAACATTTGAACAGCCAGCACTGTGAAGGTTTGGTATGTTTTAGCAATAAAGACTTTATCCAGCTGTAACATTTACTATTCCACAACAAGACTTACCATTTATTAATAGAAGAAAAACCAAGTTAATAGCTTGATTTCACAACAGAATAGATTTAGCACAGCGCCCATCTTGGGCCATGTTTGGTTAAAACAGTCACGTGGGAGATCAAGAGCAGCTGTTCTGGGGGATTTTGTTTACCACCTTGGCCATGATCACACAGATGCTCTTCCAACTGCTAGAGACATGGGAGATGTCCCAGGAATTTCAGCACACCCTGTGTCTACACAGACAGAAGATCCAGGTCCTCCTGAAGCTATGTGTATGCTGTTTTAACCTCCACACAAATCTGGGCTAGTTTGCTCCTGGAGAGAAAAACTTACTCTCCCCTGGCACAAGATTGCTCCCTAGACTCAACTCCAACCCTATCCAGCTTCTCCTAGGACACAGACTGCCCCCTACAAGTATGGTACTTCTGATGCAGTAGACAGGGATTTTGTTGGATGGTGAGATTTTGGTCAGCAGTGGGAGCAGGTGGCTCTGCTTCCTCCTCACTGTAGTGTTCCTGCTCCCAAATTCATCTGATCTTCTTGTCCCTAAGAAAGTTCACTCCATAGGTGAAAGCTCTTCAGGCTTTCTCCACCTCTTCTTCTCCCAGGACCCACCAACCTCAGCAGGCCCATACATGGGGCAGCGCTCTCTTTACAGGGGCAGAGAAGGACCAGGCTGGGGCAAGGCTTGGTGGTAATAAATAGGACAAAAGACAAATACTAAGAAGGACTCAGTAACATCATTCCCCAGTAACTGCTATGACTTGGTATCAACCTTATTTAGATTCATGACCCTACCAAAAGTATCAGGGCATTGCCCATCACGACAGGGACATTTAAGCTGCAAAAGCTCATCTGTGATTCTAAGGGAAGCTAAAGCTCCCATCCGTGTGGCACAGTAATTAAGCTAAAACTAATCTAGGCACATCTAACTGCTTCAGTCAAAATCACAACCGTAGCACAGGCAGACCTTACTTACCTACATCCAGCACGTTCTCTCCTTATTTTTGCTTTAAAGAGCAGAATAAAACAGTATCAAAATACTGAGCTTTAAAAGCCAGCTAACCTGCACGCTGCCTTTCTCTAAACATTGTAGACATCACCACCTCCAGAAATGAACATTATCTCTGTGGGTCTAAAGCACAAACACTGATGCAACCAATATTTGCTTGGAAGGATCAGAAATCTTGATCCTTTCCAAAATCTTGATCCTTTCCAAAACCTGAAGTCAGTATTGTGACAGGCCCTGTAAAAGGCCCTCCATCAGAAATATCTGGAATTACTTTACCTCTCTATAATTAATCTCTCCATTCACATTTGAAGCAAAAATTTTTAAAGGGAGATGGATTTAGGAGTCTGGAAAAACTGGGTTTACATCCAGTGGAATTATTCATGAAAATACTCCATGTACATAGGTAGAACTACATGGGCTTAAAGCACATAATTTCAAAATCCGCAATTCATATAACAGACTCATTAAATATGATCCAAATATAAACAAATAACAGTGTCTAGATTGTTTCATTCCTTCAGTCTGGCAATCTGAAAGAATTCTGTAGACATTATTTAGGTTTCAAAACACTTGTAATACCTACAAACTTCATTCAGTAGCTGTGGAAACTACAACACAGCATGGCGAAGTGACACAAACCAGGAACCAAAAAATGTCAAGTCATAAAGAGAAGCTTTTAATACAATCAGTGTTAATAATAAAGGATGGCACCTTCTGGCCTTTTGCATCTTGGGATCAGTAGTTAATGGACAGGCAAGGGAACAGTGAGTCACACTCACCACACTTCCAGCACAATACTAAACCTGTTAACGCTCTTCTATTTTTTGTTGTAACGTTGGTTAGCAGATCTCCTCCACGCCAGCAGACACATCTGCATGCATGTTACAGCGCCCATCCCGCAGATATACATTCACTGCGAGGTGTAGGGCATGTTTCTAGGATGTCAGTTATCGCTGTCAGCGGGACCTCCCCAACCACCCCATCAGAAAATGCTTGCAGAGATGCATTTTCAATTCTGATCCAAGTCCTGACCTCGCTGCAAGCCCAACCATCCTGATGGGAACACACCAGCGGGAGAAAGGCTCCCTTTAGCCGTTAGCGAGAAAACAGCAGCAAACACAGCAGCTTGGCCAATGCAGTAGCAACAACCTGAGTTAGATGAATTTTCCACGTACAAAGCTCCCTGTCTGGCTGCTGGAGTCTCTCCGATTGCCAGCAGAGGACTTGGAAGGCATTTTGCTGATGGGATCAAAGGCAGCTTTTAAAGCTCAGCACGCAGGATCTACCCACTGGAAGTAGAGCAGACAGCAACTGGCCTCAGAGCAACCCCAGCTGAAAACAATTCAAACTGGTCTAATGAGGAGGCAGCCCTCAGTTAGGGTTAGTACAAGCACTCAGCAGATTACCTGCCCTTTTTTCTGGTCCCAATACAAATGTAAATGAAGCAGCTGAGAGACCTAGCAAGGGAAAAAAGAGAGCCATTGTGGCAACACACATCAAAGCTTTGAGAAAAAAGTCTGTCTGAAGCACAAGTAATCGAGGCGACACATGAGCATGACGCTGGGCACCGATGGGCAGGGGCTCACATAGACATAAAAAGCAGGGACACCTGCCTGTGGACTACACCTCTGAATGTAGGTTCTCCCTTCCTCAGCTTTCCCAGAGAGATGGAAAAACCACTGCATAACCCCAGCTGACAGGGTGTTACCTAGCAAGTGTGTTTAGAGAGTAGAGCAAATTACAAGCACAACGGGCTGCCACTCCGCTCCTTGTGCTTGATTGATGCTTCCGACTGGAGAAAACCCCAGTGTCTGGGCACCGCTGTAATCCAGACTTAAGATCATTAAGAACAGAGTGCATTTATGACTAATTTAGGCACAGGATTAAGTGAGGGACACGTGGCAGTCATTTTAGTCCTGGTGATGGACAGGTCTTCTGAGAAATAGGGTAACAGTCAGGAATTACTCAGAAATGAGTGGGAGCTTGCACGCAGAAGCGTTACCACGTCTGGCTGCAGGCAGGCCCTGCTAAGAGCAAAACCACCACCTTTATGCTCTGAGCAAAGCCTGACTGAAGGAGGAAACTGCTTCTGCCACCATATGAATGCAAATACCCTACAGGCAATATCCTTATGGCCAGGGCCTGCGTGCCGTGCCTAGCCCGGAACAGTTGTGTGGTTTGGAGATGTCAGACAGTACTACAGGCTCAAAGGGAAACCAAATGACGTTAATGTTGATGGTGGAAACTGAATTTCAACCACCCTTTTTGTTTGTGCAGTTCATTTCCTCTCCTGGGATCTGATTGTTATTGCCTCTCCCAGCCTGGTCTCTCTGTATAAATTTATTATTTGGTTTTACTGTCCTGTGCATTCAGTGGCCACTGTCTGATTCTTGGACATGCCAACAAAAGAGCCAGCAAGAGAGAGAAACTGGAAACAGCTACCTGGATCGTAGCTCAAACAGCACTGGGTTTTTATTGATTTGGGGAAAACAGATTCTCAAAGACTTAATAATGAAGAACACAGCATACCAAGACAGGAACAGTTCACAAACTACTGTGATCAGTGGCACACTGCCATATGCTTCAAGAAAGCCATTCGTTGTTCCTCTTTACTGGGGTAACATAGCTCAGTCTTGAAATCTTTGACTTTGGATTCTAAATGGGGATCCTTTAAAAGGAACCTACTTTCAAAAGTAGCACACTCAGCCCTTCAGAGATAATACTAAAGGGTCCCCAAGTTTCTGAAACTGCATATTCTAAATCACTCCTGACTTCTGCAACTCTTGGCCACATCACAGGCCAGGGTACACAGTGTGGCCATTACAGATGTGGGACAAAGCAGACTGGGCACAACTGTTCCCTGAGACATAAGCAAAGAAACACTCTTCCTTCAAGCAGTGGGATCTCATTGTTACTAAGAGGCTTTATCCAGCCCCGTAAAGGGAAGGATGCTCCCCGGGCCCTGCCTCCCTCTTTCCCAATTCAAGTAAAAGCTCAGTTCTCCACTGTCATGCCATGAAAGGCATCTCTCTCTCGCACAAGTTTGGGCTCCAAACTCCCACAGTAAATAGGTCTCAATACTCATGCAAAGTTAGGGATCAACATATTGACTTGCAGCCAGCTGCACTGGCTACATGAGCTGGATACCAGAAATGAAGGAAAAGATGGTGATTGACTAGAGAGGATAAAATCTAAATGATCACCAGTGCTTCCCTTACAGTGCCCTGGGTTTAAATACCAGAAAATACAATAGGCAACTTCCCAATAAATTTCTTGGGCTAAGGGACCCTGAAGTAGCAGGGCTGGAACCCCCAGGGGCGGTGAGCCCAAAGGCAGGAATGGAAGTGAGAAGGCCACACCAGAGAGAAGGTTGTGAGCTGAAGCAGGTTGGGAACTGCTGACACTGCACTCCTGAGTGTTAAGGAGGTGGATGCACACACTGAAACCCTCCCGCTTTCGTCTGCATGCCTGGTCCTTTTAACCGATAACCAGAGTGACTGCTAGCTCTGGCAGTACCACAAGCCATATTTCACCACGCATGAAAGACTCTTGGACTATTTCTCAGACTTATTAGGCACAAACGGGCTTTTCAACGACACCAGTCATGCATGCCTGCTCCCTCCACCTCATTTATCATCTCCTGCCAAGGCACTGTGCCCATTGCCAGCAGCACGCTGTGCCCCACTCCCCTTCCTTGGCTGGATCAAGGGGCACACCACGGGCAGCAGCTGCTGTGCAAACTGTCCCTGCCCTATACACAGGAGGGCAGAGGAAGGTACATTATGAGAACCCTCTGGGTTATGACGGGCTGTTGGCTGTGGGATGTTCCCTGCAGCTCTCCTTGGAAAAGGCTGCAGTTGATGCTGCAGCTTGGGGATGGTAAGTGGCTGGGAGCAGGATTTGTCTTGAGGGTGGGGAAAGACATTGGCCTGTTTGGCAGAATTGGTTTGTTCAGCATAAGGGATAAAGATACATGCAAACAGGATCTGGGAAATCCAGGTGCTTGAAGGAGAGGGTCAGAAAGGTGGGAGAGAGTGTAAAACTGGGGATGGGAAGGTTGTAGAGACAGAGCAGGCAATGGCAGGGCTGGGCCAGATTTTGGGAAGAGGAGCAGAGAGTGGAAGGGTTGGGGACTGGGGACGGAGCAAGGCAGAATGCGGTGGGAGGCTCAGCGTGACAGGCAGAGGATGAGAAAGTGCTGGGAGCACGGTGACAGCGATGGAGTACATATGAATGTGCTGGAGGAGCCATCGGTTACTTCTCACTGCAGCCACACACATCCCAGCTGCCGGCATTAGAAACCTGACTGGTGCCAGTGAAAATCCCATCTATGCCCAGGCCTCCATGTGACAGCTCCACTGCCTGGCCAAGGCCTTGCACCTGCCCCACTACCAGGGCCATAACAGCCTTCCTGCTGCTCCCCTTCTGCTGTGACCCAAAAGCAGGCTCCTTTGCTGATTCTGCTCTCCTCTCCTGACGTGAGCTGGAAAGAAGGTGGCGGTCAGTGCCCCTTCGGGAGCGGGAATGGCTGAATTATTTGGAACTAATTGAAAACACACAAAGAGCAACAGGATTTACTGCCCGGTCATCTAATCCCACCACTTAAGACTGACCCACTTGAAATCACAGTGTGTGACAGAATGACCAAGCAATGAGGACAGGATTACAGAGCCCCAAATGAGATTACCTCCTTGGTGGGGACACAAGCTGCTGTGGGCAGGGAAAAGATCAATGTTGAGCACCTAGCAGGGGTAATCAGAGCAGACATCCAATGCTCTGTCTGCTTAGTGAGCATCAAAAATAGACTCTCCAGAGAGAGAAAAAACACCCAGGTGAGTCAGGTGGGCAGACCCAGGGTACTTGGGACACTGGCAGCTCCTCAGCCTGTAAAATGAATTGGCACAGGTTTGTGCCAGCGTTAGCACAACGGTGGCTTCAACACAAAACAGAGCAGGGGAAGGGAGCAGGAGGAAGGGGAAGGGAGACGAGCCTGCACTTGGCTAACTCAAACTGCAGACTGTTTAAGATAGAAAGGGGAAAGGGCCAGGGGATCAAAGATAAGGAAGGTGTGGCTGTGCATGGCTTGCAGCATCTTAGCCCGTGGTAAATATCTAAGTAGCAGCCTGTCACATACAAATGGTAATCAGAGCCAGCTGCATTGCGCTGCCCGAGGGATAAAAAGAATGAAGAGATGGGTCTTAGCCCAAAGGTCTTGCCTTGAAAGACAAAAGATCATGGTGGATCCTGTGGAAAGAAGATAATTTACCACAGCTTAGAGAGAAAGTTGAGGACAGCGCTAGGCACAGTGGGAGGCCTGTCTGTAAGTACAGGAGCCTTTAGATTTAAGCTCATTTACTGAGAACAGGTTGCTACAGAGGACACTTTCAGCCCAACAGCTCACTGTGAATTTGCCACCAGAATATGCTGATTTGCAAAGTCTGAGGGTCCATTACTTAATACAAAAGCATCCTTTCTTTGCCAATTAATCCAAGTGAAGCAGGATATAAGACAGATCCTCACATTCACTTGCTGGTAAAAGCCACGTTTTCCACAGGAGCCGCAGGAGCTGAGTGCTTCTGAATATACGGTCATCTCTATAGGTTCCATTTTTAACATGATCCATTAAAGGCTGCAACACAATGAACCTGTCCAGGGCTCACATTCCCATCTACACTCAACACTTACCACAGGCTGGCTAGATACCCTTAAACCTTTGCATTGGGAAAGGCAGGATAAGCCTTAGAAATAACATTGTCTTTCCTCCCTCTCTGGAAATATCCCCCTAAGGACAGCACTGCAGTTTTGTCTGGCATCTGTCAGCTCAAAGTGTTTTCCAGATAATTAGTCATTTAAACTCCTCTCACGCAGGATAATCTAGCTCTGTCATACCTCCTTCTCAAGTGAGCAAGAAAGGGCGTTGACACACATTTAACAGCGGCTGAAAACCAGGGCAACAGAAGCTGTTACCACCCATACCTGCTTGGATCACTCCTCTCCTGGAAACAGCTCCCTCCACAGCAGCAGGGACTGCTAAATGGAGACATGTCCACACCCAACCCATCATACCTCACATCCTGAATACCTGAGGAACCTCAGCTCAGCCCTTCTGTACTGTAACACCGCAGGCTGTAAATCACAGCTGTTCAACCCTCCCTACCTAAAACACAGCAAATTCAGTCTGGGAAGGGGAGGGACAGACATTGCTGCAACCATTCCCAACCATTACACCATGAAGACCGTAAATGTATTAAGGGTGCGGTCCCCTAAGCAGCAAAGCTCATCTGCTTCCAACGACCAGGAAGGGAAGATCTTGCTTTCCCTTCCTTCTCACAATGCAGTTTCGTCCCTTCCCTCATGCTGGCTCAGGCTCTCCAGACACATTTGTGGGCTCAAAACCCAGTACTCCCTTTCCTTCTCTTTCTGGATTAGCTTTCTGATACATGAGATAACTTGAAGAGGTCCAAAGAGCTGGTGCACAGCAACCCCCTGGGAGCAGGAGCATTACCCCATTTTGGAGGAGAGCTGTCAGATCAGCTCATCCTGTCTCTTGGAGCTGCACCCTGAGGCACACAGAAGCAAGCAACTTGCTGGAGGCCACATGCCAAAGCAGTGAAGGAAGCCAGGAGTCCTATTTTTCCTCACATATTCAAAGTAATTTAAATGTCAAGGCTGAAGTAAAGACAAGAACAGTCCTAGCTTTGTTATAAAAATCAGTTAACCAATCAATCAAACCAGTAACAGCCTCTCAATCTTTTCAATAGATCATTTTCCACCTCCCCAGAGTACCGTGCAGGAAAGACTCTTCTAGTTCATTTACAAGTTGCAATATCTTAACTATTTTCTCTCAAGTTAGCCTGGCAAATGTGCCATACAACAATACCACACCAGTCACAGAGTTGCCTTCTTCCAGCACTGAATGGGGAGCTTCATTAACTCATGCAAAACAATGACTTCCTTGTACCCTGGAGACTCTTCTCCCTTCTACCCACTGTCACTGGAGCCACATTTCAAGGCAGTGAAATTCTTCAGAAAACCACAAGAAAAGCAGAAGAGTGGGGAGAAAACCTGTGGTGCTGACTGTTCATTCAGGCTGAAGAGCTGGTGAGGACACTGTTGCAGTCCCGAGATGAACAGGTTGGCATTGTGGGTCTGGGCTACTGCTGAGCTTCTCATATTCAGGAGCCACCCAAACAGGAGTCACAGTTTCTTTGGGATTCACACATGGTTTCTCACTCTGTCCTAAAAACAGCTCTAGCACAGAGAGTCTGTAGCACCCTGTAGGAAGGGGCTCAGAGCAAAGGCAGTGCTGCAGAACAGGCATTTATGTCCACGGTGCAACTTCCTCAGGCTTACACAGCAGCAGTAAAAGTGTTAAGTGTCACGGAGGCATCACACAAATGTTGTTTTGCTGGGCATAACTCACAGCTCTGCCTTAGCTTCACATTTATCCCAGGTTTCAGTCCAGATTAGATAGCAGTCCCTGGGTTAGCAGAGCCTCTCTACTGAAGAACAGGAGCTCAGGAGAAAATCTGAGCCAGGCCTGACAGTCACAGTCTGCGCAATGCTTGGCAGGGAAAACGAAGACAATTTTTGGCTTTTCTTTGGAACAGGATATAGCTTTCACATATCCATGTGATCCTATGTGTGTGGGGCACATTCCAGGGGCTCCCTACTTCTATAATATCTTGCATTCAACATGCTTTAGAGAATTTATGGCATTTGGCCTCCTAAGGCCATTACTATTTTTATTACGCATTTTTACATAAGGTAAGTCCAGGAGATACTAAAATAATGTGCCTGAAGTTGTAAGAAAAGCATTTGACAGAGGAAAATAATTTCCTTCAACTCCTAATCACATTTTTCCTAATACCAGTACCCACCTTGCCCATATATTTCTGCTGTCCTTTTGCAAGAAGCATCGTATCTGACTGCATGAAAGCTGTATCCTTTATACAAGTTCTGCCCCCAAAACATGAGGGTATTGTCACTGCACATCTACCCTCGGCCATGATAGTCTGTGGTCAGAGAACAGCACCACAAAATGCAGTTATCAAGTCCTTGCAGCTTTCCATGCAAGCAAAGAAGAGAGATAACAGCTATTTTCTGACTCTAAGTCAGGAACAGAGTACAGGATACGTCTCCTTAGATGAGACCACTCATCCAGTATCTACTCATTCTCAAAAAGCAACTAATGCCACTTCCCATTCAGTCTTACATAAAGACATCTCCAGAGAATTACATGCCAGGTATGTTATATGTAAGCCCTGCAGATGGATTTGTAGCCTTCATAAACTTCAGATCACATTTGCTTTCTGTTGGTACCCAACTTATAGGTCATTAGATCCTCCAGACTTCTCAATAATTCAGCGTAACAATTGAAAAACTGGGCTGCAGATGGCCTTTCCCTTCACCGCTAAAGGTGTTGACCCAAAAAAAACCCATTTCCCTGCCAGGGTATTAACTGTTCTCACCTAATGTCAGCATCTTCCATGGGAAGCATGCTCCTATTCTGACAGAGAAAATGAAGAGCCCAGGCTGTGATGAACAGCATTGTTAACGTTGTCACCTGGGCACTGAATGCCATGGGAAATATAAAATTCAGCAGAGTCCTGAGGCAGACCCCTATCTTAATCCTTCATTTCCAACCTCCTGTAGGTTCACTGGGTACCACACGTCCTATGTTCAGCCCAAGAAGCACCTGTGTGGCTGGTGAATGGGAGACTAGGAGGTGTGATCAAAATCAGCAAAAGAATCCCTACCCCACCACCTTTCCCCCTCCACACTGTGGCTGCTGGTGGTGATGGATGCAGATGAGATGCTAATGAGTCACCATCCTGACCCACACCTTTACCTTTGAAGCTGCCATGACGGCTGCCGTGGCTGCGACGTTGAGCCCCCGCTTCCCAAAGTGCACAAGGGCATCGTAGCTCCGGTCTTTTGCCTGGACGAGGCAGTCATCAATCTCCTGTCACAGCAGGCAGAACAAACAAACAAAAAAGCACAAGAAGGACAAGTTCAGAGCACGTTCAGCCTCAAACTCTCATCAGGGTCAGGTCATCTTGTATCGAGGCAGACGTTCTCCATTTCCTCCACCTTGGCTGGAGCCAACATTTGCAAAGTTTGCAATGTTCACAGTCAATGTTTGCAAAGAGAAAATGTTTGCAGGGGAGCAGTAACTCCCATTGCAGACTTTGGGAACTCTTTATTCTGTGAATAGAAGATTGGAACTCGAAGTTGGGATACACTTGCACAGTGCAACCACCACCAATAGGTCCTGGAAGCAAGACAGATACAAGCACCTGGGCAGAATGGATCAGGAATCATTTGCAATCTGTGCTCTGAAGACAAATTGAATTGCCTCATAGTTAAAAAGAATCATATCATGATACTGGGCAGCTGCAGATGTACTGCTCTGGTCCAGGACTGGTGGTCTCAGAAGTATCTGTGATACCTCTGCAAATCACGACAGTGATTTTCTTCAACATCCCCATGGAATCAGTAGGTCCAGACCTTCTGGACTTCGATGCTGCTCAATATTCAGTGAATTGGTTATGAAAGTTCCTGCCCTCACCCTCCCTCCCTCAAGACACAGGGGCCTGCATGATAATGGCTGACAATGACTTCCAATGCTCAGCTGCCGGATGCACTGGGTTAGTAGAGACTGGAGGCTGAGAGAAGCTGTTGGCTGTCACCTCCCTATTCGTAGCAGATAGGAGATGGTAACCCAAAATGCACAAGCACTACCTGTGAGAAGCATAAGCAGAACTTCCTAGCGAGCAGAGAGACAGGAGACTGACCCCACTGCCCTTCTTGGGCAGGACCAAGATACAACAGTTCATGCACTGCCTGTGGCTAAACTGAGATCTTTCACTTCCATAGTTGCCAATGTGGGACACAGTCATTCACTTCTGCACGTTGATATGTGACTGATCGCTGTTCTTGGCCCACGTATCCACATAAGCCAGGTGCATCTGCCTGACAATGTCCCATTCGCAGCCACAGGAACCTCCTAGGCAGCCAAATGATACAAACTGTAATGTTTCCCCCAAAATTAGCATCATGAATTTAAGTAAGACATTTCTCAACCCAAGACCTCAACACTGCTTCAGCAGGCTATACGTCTTCCAGCCAGGCAAGGGCTTGCTAAGCCCCTTTCAGACAGGCCTGGCTATTTGTCTCATTGCTGTGCCATTTTTTAGGCTGGAAACAAAGATAAGGAGCCCCAACTGCCAGACCCTGTTTCTCCAATTGTTATATCCAGCCACAACACAGCACTCCAGCTATATTCACCCAGTACGTGCAAAGCAGCTCAGGAGGTATTTTTATCCCCTTCCCTCCCAACTCCTCAAGTGCACAAAGATGAGTTAATATGTGTGAGTGCGCTGAGCAGATGCCAGTATTTAAAAACACAACAGCCACAAAGAACAAAAACACCAACCAAAAGGAGATGATGGAATGCTAGAAGAAGGGAATCAGCAACTTCCAGTCTTTCAATGAAAATGCATGATACAAAGACTGGAGTAAACACACTGTAGATGTGCTCCACCCAGAGAGGACCCAGGCACATGAGTTTACCTTTTCTTTTGAAGACAGCGTTGGATGAACAAATTTCCTGTACAGGAGGCTGGAGCCTTTTGTGTATGGAGACAGCAGCCAAGCTACAAAAGCTATTTTGAGTTCATAGTAGAATGGAAACCTAGAAGAAAAAGAGCTGTTAATGTCTGCTCCCAATTTAACCACTGTCCTTAATTATAGACGTTCAGCACAGGAAGGCACAGGCCAGTCTAGCTTAGGGCAGCTTTTGCTTACTGAAGAATCCACAGACCTAAAGACATTCCCTCACCTTTGCACACATCTGAACTAGGCATATGGGTAAATCTTTACTTGGGTATCAGAGCCATTATTTAACGGTCTGGAAGAGAATCTGCTCAGTGATAGGAAGAGCTTTCTACATGCAAAGAGCACAGATGCTGCCTTCATAGCATCCTCAGTCGTTATGAGGGAGCAAGGAACAAACCAGAAAATCAGTATTTAATTGATATATTTATGCACCTTCCATCTCTCTGCCTTTTGCTTGTTAGGTAACACTTATCTGCCTGGAACTGAAATACAAGGACCTTTGTTGTCCAAGCAACGTAAAGGTGCAGATCCAATCCGTGACTTTCAGGTAGCACTGGAAAATACGCAGGGCACTAACAACAGGACATGCATTAGCTGTAACAAGCAGCCAGGGACTTCTTGAGATTAGATTATCCAGACTCTTTTCTGGAGGACAAAGCCTAGAGCTCGGGGCTGGCCAGCTGCACCATATCCTCATGCAAGCAGCCGTGTTGCTGCCAGCACCGTGACGAACCAACACCACCCTTTGTAGGCAGGGGCAAGTGAGACCAGCAGAGAGATCCTGCGATGGTTGTGTACAGCCCAGCTGGACCCAGACAGACTCCTGCTGTGCTCACACAGCACTGTCTCCGAGCCAGCTGGGCCATACAGCATCCAGGTCAGACCCCATGGGCCTCTGCGATGCTCTGCTCTGAGCACGGATTTGCCAGGTTGGTCTTCCACCTCACTGAGGATCTCAGCACACCCGATTTCACAGGCTGGACAAGCTCTCTGTCTTTCATCCTGAGAGACCCACATAATACATCCTCCAAAAAAAACAAGCTCCAGATGAACACAGTGGAGGTAGATCTGCATGCAAATTAGACAGAGAGACAACAACGTCTTTTATCTCCTTTGCAACAGATCTGATATGTTGCCAAGTACCCTGATTCCCTTTGTTTGGAGGACTCACTAGAGGCATGCAGGGCGACACAGGAACAGGCTTTAGGTGAGGGCCATGCACTACAGTTAATTTTTCATCCTGAAGTCTAGTGATCTCATGAGTTTCCACTAGAAAGCCCTTGCTAAAAGGGGCAACCAAGAAACAAACATTTCCAGACTTGAGTATCAAAATTTAAGGAACTGACGCTGATAATTGGGCATTTATGTGCTCTCATCCTGACAGAGCCCACCAGGAATCCTGCCAGTGGCACCAGAGGGCTCCCATCAGGACGGACTGTCCCTGTCCTCCATCAAACCATAATTCCAGCAATGGACCTGGCAAAACATCCCAGGAACAACCACCCACACAGCAATCTACAAAGTCCTGTGCTGCAGGGCTGTTTCTGTCTGATCCCCAGGGTCTGTGCATTTACTGTAAAACACAGCTAGGTAAGTCTAGAACGATGCCTGTAGCTAAAACTGCTGTTGTTTACGTGATGATCTCTGCAAGCATCCAACTCAGCAATCAGGTGCGCCTCTCTGACAGGCAGGGGACTGGGACTCCTGTAATGATTTCTCACTAATGAGATATTACTCAGCAGTTCCATCCTTTTTCTTGCTTTTCCTGTGACAGCACTGAGAAGGGAAGCATGGCTGCTCCAGACAAACACCTCTATGCCCCCTTTTTTCCCCTCTTCTAAACATTTCCATTTTCTTTCCACCTCATGCCAAAGACTCTCTCCCATCCGGTGCTCACCAGCATAGAAAGATATCCGTGAATGTCTCTGCTGTCGTGAAGAGCGCAAATATGATCCAGTACATCATCCATTTGACCTGGTAAACAGAAACAAAAACAGCAGCCGGGTCATTTTTCCCCAAGGGCCTCGAACTATCTCATACAGGCAAAAGCGCACAGAATAACTCAGAAAAAAGGTTCTTTTTCTACCCCCTGTGTATTAAACAATTACTATGAACTTGAAGATGACAGAGCTCCCCCCACCTCAGCTCATAACACACACCAGATTTCCACACAAGCCCTTGGGAAGGAAGATTGTGGCCTTTAGGATTGGTGTCATGAAAATAAGATCAGCCCGACTGTCCCTACAGAGGAAGCTCCACTGGCCAGCAGAGGACCACAGTCCTATGAGGGCATTAAAAATCTCACTTGGCTCATTTTAACAGCAAAAGTCAACACTAGGGTGTTGGCTGAACTGTGATTAAGACAAAATGTAATTGCTTAAATAATATCTGCAGGCAGGGGAAACCAGCCAGGAAGAGATAAAGAGGTAACAGCTCATCCACTTGAGTGGTGGTGCCTTCTCACACCCACATCCTGAGCTCATTGCAGTGACAAGGGCAAGGCCATTAGCTTAAATCTCTTGCTTAGGTGAGAGCCTTTTACCTCACATTGGTAGTGAAAGCTTGGACTTCTTGGTGGGTCATTTATGGACAGATTCCTTTGTGGTAATAGAGACAGACACAGGGTCTTTGGGGACTCTGACTTGGACAGGGAAGCTGTATTATCTCCAGTAATTCAGCAATCTGGGGATTTTAACACTGAGCAGTAAATGGCATTTAAAAGCACAGCTTCTGATGTATGCAGTATTGGTTCTTCTTGGGCTGCAAAGAAGCAGTGTATTTGTCACACACCATCAGCACTTCCAGTGATGTGGTGCTCTTCTTCTGTGGTACCATCACTACAGAGATGATGTAAATAATAATTTCAAAGTGCTGGAGATGAGAGAGAAACCTTCTGTTCCCCTTCAGCATTTTTTTTTCCATTGTAAAACTTAAAAGTTCAAACAGCTTTAAGAATCTGTCTCTCCAAAGAAGAAATGGTAAGACAAAAGTCATTATTTAACTGAATATTGTTGTCTAATTAGCTATGTTTGAACATGGAGCTCCCTAAGCAGCTTTGCTGGAATGTCAGAAAGTGGATCTCACCAGCTCTGAAATGCCTTGCTCTGTCTTCTCCTGGATGCAGTGGGGACAGTGCCCGTAGTCTCTCTCCATCTCCCTGCAGGTACTGAAATTATTCCCTGACTGCCTGTCACCCAGCTCTGGAACTGCTCCCCTGGGATTTATATGTGTATCTATATGTATATTTATACTTAGTGTTACAGCAGTAGAATGGCCCTGCCAAATGCCTGAGAGCGTTGTCTTCCCAGGGCAGCTTCTGCCAGACTTTTTACATAACTGCGACTCTCTCAAAGCCCCACTGCCAGCACTGTTCTGTCAGTTAAGACACTACTGCCAGGAACACTTTGAAACACAAACCAAGACCTGGTGAGGATGGGTTTGGATCAGCCTAAGAAGGTTGGATTTGATTATCTTAGAGGTGTCTTTCAACCTTAATGATTCTGTGATTCTTTAAAACACCATTTATCCAAATTACTATTACCAAACAAACCAAAAATAAACTACAGTGATACAAGTTTCAACTAGCACGTGAAATTACTATTTTTAAAGTTTTTTTTAAATCAGATCCTAATGGATATATTGCCACAACTCGGGTGTTAAACTGAAAAAACAACTGTAAGTGCAGAGCAGGTCTTAGATCAGCCGTTCCCACATTTGGGTCATGACCCCATGTGTCTGATGTGAGTTCCTCTTTTGCAATTGAATTTCCAACAGGAATTGAACCCTTCAACAAAAAAATTTCCAGAAAAGGACTATGGAAATGTTAAGTGTCAGTGCCAGACACTGCTTGGAGATCCTAATGCATGTTTTCAGCATTTTCAAGCAGAGGGTGTACAAACCTTGGGAGGCTCAGCTATACAAGTGCTGCAGGGACATTTTGCCTTAAGTATCCAATGTGTTCTGTAACACTTACGATTCTCAAAATACCCAAAACCATTATCTGAAGGAGGAGACTGATAAAACAGAAAATCAGCAGCCACAGTGAGTCCCAGTTTGAGTCTGCACTAAGGACTTAATGGGACAGCCATCTGCGCTGTTACCCAGAGGGGAAAATGGGTTTGTTACCCCTGGGGTCTTGAGAGGATTGAAGAGTCAAGATCTGGAGGCTGAGCTGGGTTCAGTGAAGTTAACAGAGTTCAGGTTGTGAAGGGCATCACAAATCCTACAGGACCCCAGTAGCATCCCCATATACTTTTAGAAACTGAGGCCTGGGACCATTTTTCAGCAAAAGGACACGACAGCACCCCCAGCTGCCAGACCTGCCTGTAAATGGGTCGCTCCACAAGTAAGGATGTTTCTATCCGAGGATTCAGTCATATGTGCTTCGAGTTGCCTCCTCTGATCCTTGTTTTGAATGAGCAGCTAAAGCTTCAAGGCTTTTTGAAAAGGCTTTGATTTATGCTGCTCTTCAGAAACAAAGGAAAACACGCAAAGCTCTGGATGCCAAACACCTTTTAAGTCAGCCGTATATAGCTCACGCCACCAGAGAAATAGCACACATTTGTCAAGGAGCACGTCAGCTCTGCAGAGGAGCCAGAAGCACAAACCCGTCCTTATTTGAGACTTGTGCCTAGCAATCAGCCAGCCCACCCTCAGGCCAGCGTTCCCCCTGCACTTGGTGTGCGAGCTTTCCCAGAACACAGGCAACACCTTTACAGTGTGGTAAGGAGCAATCTTAGAAACCAAACCCTGCAGCACAGTCACAAACCTCATTACTCACATATTCTTTGATGTCCTTCGATTTCACGGCTTTGTAAGAATAATATGCAGGGTAAAGAGTGCCAAATATAAGCCTGGAAAAAACAAACAAACAACAAATGGATTAAATTGATTTCCTGTCACAGAAAAGAAGATATTTTTTTCCCTGTTAAATGCGTTTCTTGCACTAGCAGAAGGTGTTAAGATTTGATTTAAGCTTGAGTGCATTAAGTACAGTACAGGAGTGATTTTTGCATCACTGAATTCAGAGAAACTATTGCCAGGGACATGAATGAAGAGCAGAGATTCAGGTTGGCTTTCCTCTGCATTGGTTTTCACAGCTGTACCCTGTGAGTTACACAAAAAACAAAACAAAACAAACATGAAAAAGAACCACCACGCTTTTAAAAGGAAATTTAAAATCTGATTTCAAAATAATCTACTGCGACACCAGGAGTGCAGGAATGTTGCTTTCAGAGGCAGGACAAAATGAGAATCCTTCGTCTAAAATCCCTTCCACCTCTATTCAACACTGAAAAGCTGGCAGAGGATAAAGCTGCATCCACCTTCTACTGACGCAAGGGTCTGAATGCTGGGGTGTTATCCTACATTAAATCTGCTAAAGGGAAGAGCTCTACAAAGATCAGCAAAGTCCATTTGAGCTCATCAAAGGGGGAGGAATTTGCCCACCAAGATATGGCAACAGGATCAGGCCTAAAAATCCCAGCCCTGCTGTTCTTTCAGACATTTCATTTTCAGGTCTGAAAGGGATGCTGTCAGCTTCAAGATTTCATGTAAGAAAGAAGGAAGGATTTGTAAGTTAAAAATAGCACTACTGAGAAAAAAGCACTGAGAGATTTTTATACTCGCTCCTCTCCGCATCACTGCATAGCAGCTTATTCACTTGGATTATTCTGGACACAAGCATAGGCTTGTCAAAACCACTTTGCCCTGCCCAGGTTTCAGTCAGTTTTATTCAATGCAGTAGGATGATGCTGCAAGTTTGAATTTAATAGATTGCAGGGGAATGTTTATTGGCTTGCAATACCCCTCTTTCCAATGAAGCTTTAGCTTTAAATTCATTCAGCTGCTTCTGTTGCTCTTGGGACTGGAAATGATCAATGTTTCAATCCCTAATTGTGGAGCCGCATGGACCTGCAGTCGTCTTTTCCATCCTGCCAGTAGAGACTGCGTGCCAGGGGACTCATCGTTACTGCTGAGTCCATTACGTGCGTAAGACATTAAAAATTAACGCGCTGGGATAGAGTGCACCATCACGCTTCCCGTAGCTCAAGAAGGTATTTGTGAAAGAATGGGGTGAGCCAGCACACGTCTTGATTTCCAAGGCAGTGACCGAAGACAAAAATTTGTTCGCTATTCATCGTGCTTACTGTAGCATAGCTTAGCAAAACCTGAGCACAATGCAGGCTTCAGAAAAGCAGCTATTGAGTGAAGAGATTCAATATTTTACAGAGGTTTCACACTGGCTGCTAAAAGCTTTGCTGGAAACAGCTCTGAGCCTATTTCACCCACAGGGGCTGTGCTATACGCAGGGATTAGATACAAACACTCAGATTCTGGGAAATTAAATGCGTTTCTCTCCTGTGCAATACCTTAACAAACAGCAACACCAGCTAAGGGGAGGAAGAGCACACAGACAATGGCTTGATCCTGTTCTCACTGAAGTAATAACAGCTATTCCTTCCGAGTTCAATGGTAACAGGACCTAATCCAAAGAAGGGAGTGCTCACAAAGGGAAGAAAGCACCACAATATTCAGAAATGAACAGCCAAGCACATGAATAATATTTTTGGCTCTGCTTATAAAAAGCACTGCATTTCTGTCCTTCCTTCTTGGCCCGGGCTGGCTGCTATCTCACGCTTTTATTTCCTGCAAATAATCACCGAATGATTAATATCCATTTCCTCAGTTTGTGCTGGTAACAGAAAGTAACGGGATTCTGAAGAAGCAAACAGTTTACAGGATCACTAGAAAAGAATTAGTTGCAGACAATAAACACTTGAAAAAAATTCCTATGAGGGAAGGAAACTGCAATAGTTTTGCATATGCAGAGCAAGAGATGGTTATTAAGGTGATGTGCTCTCCCTAAATTGGAGATTGAGAGTTTCCCTGATTTGCCTTGTAGCATGCTGTGTGCATATATGGACATCTATTACTGCTATGATTTACTCGACCAAAAACTGTTTTAGGGAATGTTGGATCCCAGTGTTGTCACAGAATCGCTGGGTTGGAAAAGACCTCTGAGATCATCATGTCCAACCGTTGCTCTCTACTCCCTAAACCATATCCTTAAGTACCTCATCTACCCGCTCTTTAAATACATCCAGGGATGGCGACTCCACCACCTCCCTGGGCAGCCTGTTCCAGCTTCTGACGACCCTCTCAGTAAAGAACTTCCTCCTTATCTCTAACCTGAACCTCCCTTGGCACAGCTTGGTGCCGTTTCCCCTTGTTCTAGCCTCCATCACCTGGGAGAAGAGACCAGCACCCACCTCTCTACAACCTCCCTTGAGGTAGTTGTAGGTGGTGATGAGGTCTCCCCTCAGCCTTCTCTTCTCCAGGCTAAACAACCCCAGTTCCCTCAGCCGCTCCTCATAAGGCTTGTCATTGCTGTAGCTTACTGCGTGGCTTGGAGTTGCTCAGGGTACCTCTGGGTGCACTCTACTAACAGAAGATAAGAAGCATTCAGGCATTTCTGGGGTTTGGAGACAAATACCTGCACATTGGCATATTCCCAAAAGCCTCTTCAAGTTACTGTCTTCAGTGGGCTTTTAATCCGGCGTGAGCACATTGATTTCATTCAAACATACACCTCAATTCTCTCTCTCTTCCCTCAGTTCCTCTCCCCTGCTGAAGCCAACACTTCTCTCTTCCCCCTCTTTCAAGCTTCCTGTGTAATTGCAGTTATGGTTGATTCCTGCCTTCCTCCATCCCTATGCTCAGACTGATGCTAAATCACTCCTCCTGCACACCATACACAAAATCAAGGCTTATTCTCTGTCCCTCTGCCCAGGCAATTAAGTCATTCCTTGCCTAAGTGTCCTTTCCAGCCCACTTTGCGTGCACCCGTGTTTAAACCTCTCTCCCCTGCCTCTCTTACATCCACACCCAGAGAAGCTACTTACACAGAAGTAATATTCTTATCTTTGCCTTCCAGTGCCTGAAAAATGCTGCTCCCAACTACCATTGGTTTGTTTTTTTATCACATCCCACCTCAGTCCCTTCTCTCCTGTAATGGCTGCAGTGCCACCAGCTTCTTCCTCTGCTGCTCCTTGAATGTCTTCTCCACACCCTGGAGCTCCTGTGCTCCTTGCTTCTGCGCTGGGTATCAGCCCATCACCTCCAGAACTGCCCCTGACGGTTATCCTGACAATTCGAGAGGCAGCAGCCCAAGCCACACAAGTTCCAACCATGCCATTCCCCAGTCCCTTCTCATCTCCCTAATCATCTTCTGCAACACTCCAGATCTACCTGATGTTCCCCGAACCACACCACAGGACTTTCAGCTTTCCTCACACATCCCCACAATCGCAGCACGGACCCTCAGTTCCCTCCCGCAGCTTCCAGCTGACCTGGGACTACACGTGCAATGACTCCTTCCCTGGTACCTGCACTGTAGTTGCCAGCTGGCAAACTAAATTAACAACCTACCCATGGAGACAACACTGCAGCTTTTACCTCCTGGCGGGCACTACTATGAGCCAATCTCCTATCCAGCAGCTAATTCTTATGAATAACATAGAAACTTAATAGTTGAGACCTCTTTTTTGGTCTCATTTTGGCCGCAATCACTTTGCAGATCCAAAGGCTAGCAGCAGTGGAAAAACAGACTGCTTAAACCTCATTTCCTTAGGAAGCCAGGCTACAAAGAGAGAGTCAACCCTCTCCCCACCCATTTCCATCTTTCAAAGCTTCTTTCAACGAGCTGTGTACCCAGGAAAGCCTTGGCTCTTTTACCCTCGGAGCAAAAGCAGAAGCAAACATCCTGAGCAGCAAACCAGGGACTCTCAGAGCTTGATGTAGTGTCTGCTACGTTTGAAGCTACAGAGATTTGTCCCTACAGGCTGGGCTAAAACAAACACATACCCTCAGGGTAGAGGGAAAGGCAAGGAAGTAGTGACATTTATCAGCGAGTTAGGAGAAGCTCACTTGCAGCACTAAACAAATAACCACAACAGTCTAACAACTCTCACACTGCTCTGTGCTGGAGGTCGACATCAATTACAATCGCCTTGGAAAAGGACAAAACAGCAGCTGGAAAGAAATCACTGAGGAGTCAACTAATTGTACAACAGGAGGCAAAAACCTAAGTAAAAGGTTAGTCTGCCTAAAGAATAGGATAAGGATTAATGCTGGAAATCTTATAATCCTATTAGGCACAGCAGCAGCAATCCCCAACATGGACTGCTGTCTGCGCTTCTGGTCATTTTTCGTCAAAAGGGACACAGTGGAGGCAGAAAGGGAAAGGAGAAGGGCAATGAAAGCGTGTGGAAGCACTGGGAAACGTCCACAGGAGCCACTGTAAATGCTGCAATTGGTTCTGTAGCAGCAAAGACAAATAACCGAGGTTATTTGCTTCTACATCGCATAGGGTTTGGGGTTTGGTTTTGGTTTCCATTATTCACGTTTACCGCTAAATGAGATAGGAAAGGTTTCCATACTGTGGGGTTTCCTGATTATCAGGGGAATATTAAAGCAACTGAACTGTTGGCTCCTCCTGAGCAATCTCTGTCTAATTCCAGGGGAGCAGCTGCACCAGCACCAAACCTCCTCCTTCTGGCTCCATTTCCCAGTAAAACCACAGCCAGCAATGGCTACGACATCCTTCTACTCCTCCAGATATGCTGGTGCAGTGATCTGACCATCACAGAGCACGGGCTAACCCAGATGTGACCATATCCCTAATAGCATCAAGGTTATAGCCCGAGGATCAGCATCAGACCTGGCACCAGGACCTGGGAGGCCCCCACACGATGTTCTGATGATTTGGTGATGCCGTTTTCCTCACGAGGGGCCTTGTCCTGCAGCCACTTACCTGCAAAATTAACTCTCACATTCTGTACAGCAGCCACTGAAATAAATGGAAAGTCTCTCATCAACTGGTCAGTATTGACCAGGACTCAGGTTACCTCCAGAAATGCCTGCATATCCATTCTCTTGAGTATTTTTAACCACACAGGTACTTTCTGGATGGTAACCCACTGCTACAAATATACCAGCATGGTGCTGTCCCCATCCCAAGCCATCTGAGTTTTGCTCATCCAGTTCCAACACCACCAGTGGTGTTTGGCCTGCCCAAACATTTAGAACATTGTACTGCTACAACACAAATAGAACAGCCTTAATTTTGCCCATAAATAACTCATGTTTCTGTATCATCAGCACCCAGCAGCCAAGATGACAAACTTCTGCTCAAACACAGGGAGGGACACATTTAGGAATCGCCAAATTATCTCCTATTTTCCTCCACACGTTCACTGGTTCGTGTGCGCTTACGCACGGAGCGGCAGCTGAGCTGTCATCGTGCCAGCATTCCTCGCTGAAACCACCAAGAAGGGTGCCAGTAGGTTTGCAGTCCTTATTATCAGTCCTAATTAATGTTCACACACTGCCACAGATAAAAATAAAAGGCACTGCCTTTGCACCAAAGGTTTAAATCCAACAGCTGGGGATGTGAAAATAAGCAGCGCACAAGGTCAGGGAAAGGGTTAATGTGAGACCCTTGACAGCCCAAATGCCTGATAACCAAGAAGGGACTGGGGTGGAGGAAGCACCAGCTGCAGAGGAGGTGGCTTTGGGCTGGTATTCCCTGGGAGATCACAGAATCACAGAATCACTCGGTTGGAAAAGCCTTCTGAGATCATCATGTCCAACCGCTCCTGTCTACCCACTAAACCATATCCTTAAGTACCTCATCTACCCGCTCTTTAAATACATCCAGGGATGGTGACTCCACCACCTCCCTTGGGCAGCCTGTTCCAGCTTCTGATGACCCTCTCAGTAAAGAACTTCCTCCTTATCTCTAACCTGAACCTCCCTTGGCACAGCTTGGTGCCGTTTCCCCTTGTTCTATCCCCCATCACCTGGGAGAAGAGACCAGCACCCACCTCTCTACAACCTCCCTTGAGGTAGTTGGAGGTGGTGATGAGGTCTCCCCTCAGCCTTCTCTTCTCCAGGCTAAACACCCCCAGTTCCCTCAGCCGCTCCTCATCAGGCTTGTTCTCCAGAGCCCTCACCATCCTTGTGGCTCTTCTCTGAACACGCTCCAGAATCTCCACATCCTTCTTCTAGTGAGGGGCCCAGAACTGAACACAGGACTCGAGGTGCGGCCTCACCAGTGCCAAGTACAGATGGCTCCTGCAGACTTTTTGTGGTCATTTCGCAGCAGAATAGGTCCTGGATGGTGACTCTGGGCAGTCCAGAACTTGGCTGTTCATCCTCAGGGTGGCAGCTGATGCCACCCCCACCTCGAGCTCCAGGAGATGTGGATGCCCATCCATGCCAACAGCCTCTGAGAATACCAAAGGCATGTGGTGCCTCAGTGACAAAACCACCCCCTAAGGAAAGCCCTGGGCCTTGACAACCCTGAGACTGATCAGGCTCACTTCAAACTCCATCTGCAACTCGAACCAAACATCCTCACGAGGTTGGTTCAGTGCTGCCAAGGACACTCACGTAGCTGTGCCCGTGTCACTTGGCCGGTCGCACACCACCTCCACGGGTACTAACAGGGTGTAAAGCTCCACTGGAACAGTCACCCAGCACAGCCCTCTGCTTTCAGAAACACTCCTGCTTGGTAGGTGACCTGCTTAGCTCCTCTGGGCTGCTGGGACCTTGTCCTCATGAGCACTTCTGAAGCACTGTGCACACCTTCAGCACCAAGGGAAGAGAGAGCAGGCCCAGAAAAACTCAGTGTCTAACACAGAGATGCTCCGATTTCCATCCAGATCCTACTCTGATTTATCAGCAAGGCTTCTACAAACTGCAAACCCCGTCTGGGTTGACGTAACCTAACAGCAGGTGAAACTTAATCGCTCCTCGGTGTAACTGCAGGGTAACGGGACACCCGACTGTCCTTCCAGCAGAAATAGCAGAGGCAAGGGTTGTCCTTGATGCTTCTAATTTAAGCAGTCTTGATCCTCCCAAAGCAACACATACTCCTCTCCAGTTGACGCCACCTTGGTTTTTTTCACCCCAGCCAGGGCACTCCTCCCATGGGAGCTGGGAGACGGCCAGGCACAAAGAGGTGA